AAAACGTTTTACTTACTATTTCTTTTTTGAAAAAAATGCAATTCCAAAAATATACGCATGTGGTGTTGTCTACTTCAATAATTAGAGCAAATAATGAGCAATTAAATGTGCAGTCTCTCCGTCCTTTAATGATTTAACGACTTTATATATTTGTTTTAAGTATTTGATACGAATTATTTTATAACATTGAATTGTTATATTTATTGTACATAGTACTTATTTACTTTACACAAACTACCTCTATTCTTATATATAAAGTAATTATTATTATAACTCCTTTCTCTCTCCTCCTTTCTCTCTCCAAAACCCTAGCCTCCATTGTTGAATTTTGAAGGGGGCTTCCATTAATCGGTGGAAAGCCCCAATCCTTGTTTCTTTATTGTTTTCTTAGGTTTATAATAATGTTTCTTTCTTTTGGGAGGAACTTTTCTCCCTCGAAAGAAAGAGTTTCCGATCTCCTTCGAAAGACAAGGGTTTTTCGACCTCCTTCGAAAGACAAGGTTTATCTCCTCTTTTCGAGGGATAAATTTCTTAGTTTTGAATCTATGGTGACAGATCTAATGGATTGTCGTGAAATTATTTCGTTGGTGAAAAAGTTATCAAGTTTTCGAATACGAACAGATAAATCAAAAGAAAAACATCCTCACGGCTACAACGGATCGTTAGATTGTCTCTCCAACAAGGCTGTAGTTTTCAGCGATATAAGCGGGAGATGCTCCGCAGTGCAAGATCTACTCGACGATCGTAGTTTTTACGAAGGAAAATTCTATTTGATTCAATATCTTATGTATTTGTTAACGTCGAATCTCTATTAAACATGTCGTATGACTTTTAATTAATGAAATATTTTTGCTAATAAAAAAAAAACTACTTCTATTCTTTACTGTTTTAATGACTTTTAAATTTGTTTGTTTTAATTATTTTATTATGAATTGTTATAATTCTACATAGTGATTGTACTTCCTTACCTTACACAAAACCTAGAGGTGATGATCAACATTGGCCCGGCCCGAAAATAGGACGGGGTTGGACAAACATAAAAAAGCATTTTTAGTTTAAAAGCCTGGACCCGACCCGAAAAGCCCGCTACTTTTTTACGGATTTGGGCACGATAAATTGTGTTAAGGCCCGGCCCAATTTTTGATCACCTCTAATAAAACCTCACTTTTTTTTTTTTTTAGAATAATAATAATAAAACCTCACTTTTTGCTCACTTTCGCAGTCTAAAAATTATAAATTAACTGCTGATCTTTATTAGATGTCGTTTGAGTCATTATTATAATTATGAAAGAATAAATATATTTAGAGATCGAAAAGGGTTTTTTGTTAATTAAACGGTTTAATGTGTTAAGTCCAGTGCTTATATTACTCAATAAAAATTTCCATCAACATGGTCAAAGTTTGGCATGCAAATTGATTTTGTTTGCTTCAATTCACTAAAAAGTAAAAACAGAATTTGCTTTCTTATTTAAAAAAGCTAATTAGCATGAATATGGAGTGCGAAAATAAAACGATTAAATTAATCACACCCAAAATATCATGCAATTTAAAAAGAGATTTAGATCTAACAAATACATGATGTAACATTTGAATTAAATAAATATTTATCATCTAAGCAAAGCTATGACTTGTCATTGCATATCACACATCCTTATACCCTACTTTTCTATGTCGATGTCAACCATCCTAGTTAATAATAAAAGACATAAGCAAGTTCAATCATGGTTACTCAACCCAGCCTCATTTACTCGGCATTTTGTAATAATATAAATCAGATTTAGAGTCAATTGATATTTTAAAAAATTTACAATCGTGGGTTTGAATTATAAAAGCGCAAGCTAAGCTGGATTCTTCATGAACGAACTCTGATCTCTATATACTTCCTCCGTTCTTGTTTTACTTGACCCGTTTCATTTATCACGCTTGCCGATGTAAAACTTTAACCATCAATAACTTTAATTATTCATAAATAAAAATTATTATAAGTTATATATTATGATAGTGCATATTGAGACGATTCTAATATGATCTCACGTGAATATATTTATCTTTACGTATAATTCACAAAAGATGGTCAAAGGAGGGGTGATGAATAATGTAGAAGTCAAAGTGGGTCAAGTAAAAAAGAACGGAGGAAGTATATACTAATTAAATTAGGCAAAATTGATCTCAACACTCTGAACTATGGTTTGGGTGCACCCAACACTCTATACTTTGCTTAGTAGTCAAAACACCACAAACTAATGACTTGGGTGCAAAGCGCACCTTTAATTAGTAAGTTTTCCGACCACCATTCTCGCGGAGTTAGTGAATTTTCTCGATTTGCGTGTCGAAAAATATCCCGTAAAGGTTTTGAGGGTCATTTTGACTCTAAGGGTTCCAAATTAAGCTCGAAACAAGCAAAAAAATAGCATAAATGACTCAAGTCGGCTTAAAAAGCAATGACACACAAATTGAGATGTTTTATAACACGCTAAACAAATCATATCATGTACGCTTTTCTTTGCTTGTTTCAAGTTCAATTTAGGCCCTTTAAGGTCAAAATGACCCCTAAAACCTTTACGGGACATATTTCGGCATGCAAATCGGAAAAAAAAAAAATTAATTCATCTGCTCCGGTGAGAATGGTGGCCGAAAAATTCAATAAAGGAGTCATTAGTTTGTAGTGTTTTGACCACTTATCAAATTACAAAGTGTTGGGTGCACCCAAGCCATATTTCAAAGTGTTGAGGCTAATTTTTTACCATTATTGTGAATTACTTGACATTTTTGTAACAGTATAGGTCAGATTTAGAGTCTTTTTAAAAATTTATGATTATTATTTAATTACGGGTTTGAATTATAATCCCGCAAGCTAGATTATTCATGAACTCTCTGTCCATACTACTAAATTATCGTTGGTCTTATTAAGTTGATATGTGCTCTGGAGTGGATGTCCATGCATTATGAATTTATTGGTTTAAGTTCATTGCAACATGCATGTCAAGTACAGCATAATGTCGTTCAACTTTCAAATCATAAAATAAAAATAATAAGTAAACCTCTCAATTATTAAATGCCTCCAACGATACTGATTTACCAAATCTGATCTTGTAATAATGTTGTGAGATGACAGTTTCGTACTCCATTGCTCGATTGACATTTAACCGTGGACATTTTTACGATGGTCGTTTGAAATATGACTACCTTATTATTATTTTAATGATAAACAATATGAGCGATCTATTTTTTCACACTATAAATTGGACACAATTAATATTCTAATTGCTACAATGCAAATATAATTTTTGTAAATTTTAATCCAACATAAAATAAATATTTTTTAAGAAACTATAAAATAAGAGTAAAAATTACATAAATAAAATTAAAAATTTGATAAATTACAAAAATGTTGATAATAATATATTATAGCAAAAATAGAGTAATATAATTAATAACTTGGATAAAAATACTTTAATTATGCACTATATAATCATTAAAATATTATGATAGTCATATATCAAACGACCACTATAGAATTTTCATTTAACTGTGGCTTGAGAGTGATTTTTCTTAAGAACAAACTACCCGACCTTTTAACCTATAAAGGTAATGTTTGGAAAAATTAGCGATAGCTAGCAGGTTTCTTTTGCAGGTCGAGTAGCGGATAACTGTTAATTAGTTGTGGGTAAAGGTTAGCTGTTAATGTAGTGGTTAATAATACAAGTTTTTGGCAAAAATAACGGATGAAATGTTAACATACAGTAAAAATATACACATGCATTATATTTATAAAGTAAACTAATTAAATTTGTCAAAAGCTATTGGCTATCTTTCAAACGCTAATATTATTAACGTTTGACAAAAATTACTTAAACACTACATCTACCGCTAAGTCTCTAACCGCTACATGAATCACTTTCTTGCCAAACACACTTTATTTTCCCTAATAATATTTTGACTTGGTCCAAAACTAACCGCTACCCAAAACACAACCACCAAAGAGGCCCAAATTATAGACTCGTGTTCATCTTAATAACATGAAGTATTTATTTATTTATTTTTTTTTATTTTTTTTATCGATTAGAGACCATTGATCATTTGGTAGTATATTACTTAATTAGGAGTTAGCCAACATATTTGGTTGTGTATAATATAAGACACTTAATTTGATAATTATGGGAAATTTGAGTTATCAAGAGAAGAAATTTGGTAATTAAAATTGTTTTATTCCTACATGTCCATTTTTTATAGTCATCAACCAAACAAATCCTCCATTTCCAAATTAAAATGATTTTCCAATTCCCCCATTTTATTTGTTCAGCCAAACAATACCTTATAAAATATTTGATTTGGCTTTTTTTTTTTTTTTTTTTTTTTTTTTTTTTTTTTTTAATTTTTTGTCAAAAAATAGTTCGTTCTCCAACACTACTATTTGTTTGACTATTATTACGGGAGCCGAGGGTATTAGATAATTTTAGAGATGTACATAATATCATATAAGTATATAACTAATATATAAAACTAAATTTTTAGATAGGCGACGAGGCAGCGACATTATATTTTTGCTTTTTACCTTTTTAGGTAACTATTATATTGTTCTCCAATATATTATCCTTTGTTAAAGTAAATTAAAGCTTGATTTACCATTTCACCTGTTAATATTACTTGATCGACATCTTAAAGGTAGTGTAGGGTTAGAATCACCAATTAAGTAAGGATAGTTGAGGAACTCGTGGCCTATATTATGGGATCCCCTGGCCTTTCAAATGTAAGACAATTTGATCGATGTGCCCACAATGTGGGGGTAAATTCAACAGTTCAACACTTGTAATTATCTTCCTCTCAAATGTAACTACGCACATCACATGAATAGGAAAACAATAAAATTTCAAAATGACCAAAAACGTCTTGCATGTGTACGTACTCTCTAATTTTTGCTAAATTCCAAAATTTGTAAATTTACTTGCAAGCCCTCATCACCTTCTATATAACACACAAACCTATTATTATTATTCCATTATTCAATAATCACTTCTTTTTCTCTATACTATTGGTTAAAAATTCTAACCAAAAAAGAAAAAGAAAAAGAAAATGTTGAACACATCCACCAATAATATCAACTTATTATTACTACCAAAGCCTTTTTTAGGAGAAAAAGGTGAACAAAATAATGTTCAACTGTTTAATTCTTCTAGGGTTCATAAGGCATCATCACTTGGTGCATTATTTTTGTCAAGAAAGTTGTATGGTAGTGATGGTGATGTAACTAGGGCACATTGTGCTCGAAACGGTGGCCGCCTTAGAGTTAAAGCAGTAGCAACCACAGATAGTGAACAAGCTGTGAAAGTTAAGGCCACCATCTCGGTAAAACCAACTGTTGGTGGGTTTTTGACCAACGTTGGCTTCACCCGAGGGCTTGATGATATTACTGATGTGCTTGGTAAAACCCTCCTCTTGGAGCTTGTTAGTGGTGAGACACAAGAAAGTAAGTAAAAAAGAAAAACTACCTTAATATTCTAAATAATAATTTTAAAGACAGATTTAAATTTTACTCTGTAGATTGAAGCTAAAAGTTCGTTCCTGTAGTTGAGGCAAGATCTACTTTCATGATAGATTAGCTTATTTTGTGGGCAACGTAACTTATTCGAAAGGTGACATTTTATTGTCTATTAATAAACTAACTAGTGTATGTTGAATAGCCTCATCACTTGGCCTAAGACTCCCTCAATGATTGATGCATTGAGGCTTGATATTTGTTTAAGGATAGTTTTACAATGACTACACTGCGGACTAATCGAAGTTTTTATTGGCCTTTTTTTCAGTGCATTGCTTCCCAATTATTTTGTAGGTTGTGACTTTATTACTTTAATTTAATGAAGAAAAGGGTACACCTCAACTGCTCAAGTATCATGCATAAAATTATTAAAATCTCAAAGGTTGTTAATATAAGCTAGATAGAGTCACTTTATACTCTTTTAGGAAAAGCTCTTAAACTCAACGGTGTGAACTAGACAGATATACGTTAATACGTAGTACTAGTATAATACGATTGCAAATAACACTTAAAGATTGATTTTCAATCAAGGTTATTTAGAAATTAATCGATTGTACCAAATCTAATATAAAGATCAAACATCCTTGATGATTTCTTTACTATATATATATATATATATATATATATATATATATATATATATATATATATATATATATATATATATATATATATATATATATATTTATGGTTCCAACAAATCAAAATATTTCGTGCTAGAATAAACTTGCTTTTGTGTTTGATTAGATAGAATATTATGTCTCTATATACTGTATATTTAATTGGATCCAAAGCTGTACTAATTTTAGTTTTCATTTTATTTTTTTTTTTAAAAAAAAAGTTATACTTGTTTGCGAAAAAAGCTAAGCTATAAACGTGACAACTGATTTTGAATAGAGAAAGTAACGGTACGTATTGAATAGAAGAGATAAGACTAGATTGTATTATGCCATTAAAGGTAAGATAAGATATTTATATATATTTTTTTCATTTACTAAAAATGTCCAATTAATTTTTTTTTACAGTGTAGCACTTTCCTACATATTATTTTGGTAGATTAATGACTTTATTTTTACTTAAATGAAGACAAAAAGGGTACAACTCAACTACTCTAGTACCATGCAATACGCATACAAACTCTCAAAGGATAAATTAGTCATTTAAACTACACGATAATGTGACAACTAATTTTGAATAGGGAAAGTAATTGTACGTAAGTGTTATGTAGAGGAGATAAGAAGAGATTGCATTAAGCAATTAGAGATAAGATAAGAAATGGACGTACTAATTATTTTGTTTTATTACTTACTAATAATAAGTCCAATTTAACTTTTTTTTTCTTCCTATTACTGTGTAGAAACGGGATTGGAGAAGGCAACGATCAAAGGATACGCCCATCGTTCAAAGTCGTCCGAGGATGGAATAGTGAAATATGAAGCTGATTTTGTGGTTCCACCAGAATTTGGAGAAGTTGGTGCTGTACTTGTCGAAAATGAACACCACAATGAGATGTTCCTCACCGAGATCCACCTCGACGGGTTGCCATTAGGTTCAGTACATTTTTCTTGCAATTCATGGGTGCACGCTAAGTATGACAACCCTGAAAAAAGAGTCTTCTTCACTAATAAGGTGTGTATGTATTATATAAAAAAACATAAATTATCGCGTAATATAACAATTTTATTATCATTTGAGTAGGGAAATATTGTACAATATGTAACGTACTAATTAATTAGCAATGGTGTGATATATTTGTAGTCGTACTTGCCATCACAAACACCAAGTGGATTGAAGAAGTTAAGAGATAAAGAGCTTGAAAATATGAGAGGGGATGGAAAAGGAGAACGTAAGAACTTTGAGAGAATTTACGATTATGACACTTACAACGACCTTGGTGATCCAGACAAAGATGCCGCATTGTTGAGACCAGTATTGGGTGGTAGTAAAGAGCTTCCTTACCCTAGACGTTGTAGAACAGGACGTCCTCCTACTAAGACAGGTATGTACCACAGTAACATCTTATTCCATTTTTCTCGATATATTTTTAATATAATTCAACTTTAACGCTTGTCATTTTGTATACTCGTAAAACTCTAACCATAAATAAATCTATAATTACAAAGTACTACGTGTCTTCTCCTGAGGACATTTCCAAAAACATCTTACGTACTAGCATAATTGTAAAAAATTAGAATTATTGTTCCTAATTAACAATATGTGACACAAATCCTCCCACTATAGTAGTTGTATACTTGTATGTGTACCTCACAACTACAAACAAGATAACATCTCATTATCTCAACAAATTTTTAAAGCAAGCTAATTAACCAATTTAATACACAATAAAAACTCTAGATAAATTTTTATTAAGACATAATTACAAGACATTTTTATGTACAATATGCAGATCCAAGCTCAGAGAGCAGAGCCAACAGTGTATATGTACCTAGAGATGAAACATTCTCCGAGTTGAAGCAGACACAATTCGGGTTCAAAACCGTGTACTCGGTGTTACACGCCGTTGTACCATCATTAGAGACCGCGATGGTTGATCCCGACCTCGGTTTTCCATACTTTACGGCCATAGACTCGCTCTTCAACGAAGGCGTTAATTGTCCCGGGTTGCAAAAACATGGGTTCTTACCGGATATGTTGCCTAGGCTCATTAGAGCTGTTTCGGACCTTGAAGATAATATGCTTCGTTTTGAAGTCCCTAAGATATTTGATCGTACGTACATTACTTACTAAGACTTTCCTATGTATTAATTCCTTTGATATTATTAAATTCGACGAATTTGAACTAATTAACCAACAAGGAATTTTTTGGTTGATTCAGGGGATAGATTTTCTTGGTTTAGAGACGAAGAATTCTCTCGTCAAACTCTTGCTGGCTTAAATCCCTTAAGCATCAAGTGTGTTACGGTATGATATGCAAAACTATATATTATATAGTTTGTATATGAATCAAATTTATAAGATATTACTAGTTGAATTCAACATATTTTGTAAGTGATGTTACTATTATATAAAGTATCAATATATATATGATAATTAATTAGCATATTTGATAGCTTAGGATATGATCTTATGTGTAACAATTTTGCAGGAATGGCCGCTAAAGAGTAGCTTGGATCCGAAAATTTACGGCCCACCCGAATCAGCTTTGACTACAGAGCTTGTGCAAAGTCAGATAAAAGGATCCATGACTGTCGAGGAGGTAATTAAATCATATTTGAATTGATTAATTATTTTGTGCTCTCTATAATCACAAATTTATGGAGGTTGTAATTAACTAAATTAACAATTACATTATATTGCAGGCTTTGAAAGAGAAGAAGTTGTTTATAATAGATTACCATGATGCATTTTTGCCTTATGTGAACAAAGTAAGGGAGCTCAAGGGGACGACTTTGTATGGATCTCGAACTTTGTTTATATATGACAATGAAACACTTAGACCTCTAGCTATTGAATTAACTCGGCCTCCATGTAATGGGAAGCCTCAATGGAAGAAAGTTTATATGCCGGGAACTAGTGCCACTTCTGCTTGGCTTTGGAAGCTTGCTAAGGCTCATGTCCTCGCTCATGACTCTGGCTATCACCAACTTATTAGCCATTGGTACGTTGTGCACGGGCTTGGCCCAGTTTCTCATAGCGAGAAACAAAAATTGTTTTCATATGGTATTTTCGTATATAAACCAACTTTATCCAATCACCATTAATTGTGGAGTCTACAATAATGAAATAGTTATTAAATTATTTACGAAAATACCATGTGAGAAACAATTTTAGTTTCTCATTATGAGAAACTTGTATTTACCCGTTGTAGCACCATTATATTATATTGCTAGAGAAAAGTAAATCTAACCTTTATTTATTTTTATATATATAAAAAAAATAAGTATAGTATTTGGATGATCAATAGGCTTATGGACGGACTAACTAAGTTTTCTTGTTTACTTGTTAATTGTAGGCTTAGAACACATTGTTGCACGGAACCTTACATAATAGCAGCAAATCGTCAATTGAGCACAATGCACCCAATATATAGGTTGTTACATCCTCATTTTCGGTACACCACCGAGATCAATGCCCTTGCTAGATTAGCTTTGATTAATGCAGGTGGTATCATTGAAAGTTCCTTCTCACCGGGGAAGTACTCTTTGGAGTTGAGCTCCGTTATCTATGGATTGCAGTGGCGATTTGATCATGAAGCCTTACCAGCCGACCTTTTAAGCAGGTATATAATTTAAACTACTACCTCCATTTTAAATCATGTACAATAACTAAATATTATTTTTTGTGAGACATAAAAAATTTAATTGTTGCACAAATAGAGATAGTAACTCTTATTTTGAAATTCCATAATAATTATACTGAAGTTTCATGTATAATTTTTGTCGAACTTAAATTATATAGAGGAATGGCCGAAGAAGATCCATCAGCACCACATGGACTAAAGCTAACAATAGAGGACTATCCATACGCGAGTGATGGCTTAGAGTTATGGTCAATTATAAAGCAATGGGTGACCGATTATGTGAACCACTACTACAAAGATCCGAGCCTAGTAGAATCGGACCAAGAGCTTCAAGCTTGGTGGACCGAGGTAAGAACCGTAGGGCACGGAGACAAGCAAGACGAGCCATGGTGGCCGAACCTTAAAACAAACAAAGACCTAATCCATATTGTGACAACCATCATATGGGTGACTTCAGGGCATCATGCAGCCGTAAACTTTGGACAGTATGCCTACGCGGGTTACTTCCCTAATAGGCCTACTGTCATGAGGGCTAAGATGCCTACAGAAGACCCCACTGACGAGGAGTGGAAACACTTCCTCGAAAAGCCCGAGGAGACACTACTTCGAAGTTATCCTTCTCAAATACAAGCTACTAGGGTAATGGCAATATTGGACGTGCTTTCGGGTCATTCACCCGACGAGGAGTATCTAGGTGAAAATATGGAGGCATCTTGGGAGGAAGATCCTATGATAAAGGCGGCTTTCGAGAAGTTTAACGGGAGATTAAAGGAGTTAGAAGGGATCATCGACGAGAGGAACGCTAATGAAGCTTTGAGGAATAGAAATGGAGCAGGTGTTGTGCCTTATGAATTGTTGAAGCCTTTCTCTACTCCTGGTGTCACTGCTATGGGAGTTCCAAACAGCATCTCTATCTAATAATGTAAAACATCATTGGAATAAATAATGATAGAATAAAATGTATGTAACACATGTAGTTTATGAAGTCTACATACAATAATAGATCTATGCACAAGTACGTGTTACTCTAAGATCCATGAAAGTTGTTGGGACTTTTGATTATAGTAAGTTCAATGAAGTAGTTGTGGCTTTGGTAAAGTACGTCTTTGCAGAAATGATTTCTCTCTTGATCATAATTTTTATTTATATCTTTCTCTGTTTTTATTTACTTGCAACACACCTCTTTAGAATTAATGTAAAGATGGATGAAGGATGTGTCTGATTTAATTACGTGCCTTGTAATTATAGGTCCAATCTAGACTATCTAGTCCAGTTCACAATTGAGCCCACAATATATCTAGTACTCCGTATCTCTAATCAACCGAACACTATTTTTAGTTTTTTTTTTTTTTTTTTTTTTTTTTTATAATTTTTTTTTTCTTATTTATAATCAAGGTTCACTTTCTCATTTAACAACCAAAATAAATAAATAATAATAATAATAAAATTGTAACTTCAATCGTGGCAAATTAAGTTATGGTTACATTTTTTTTTTGTTTTGAAAATTTTTGGTTACATACGTACTGCATCATTTTTTTTTATTTTTTTTTTATTTTTTTTTTTTGCTTCAGAAGAGGTAAACAAATTTTTGTTACTTGTACTGTATAGTTAGTTGTTTTTTTTTGAAGGGGGGAGATCTGTATAGTTAGTTGTTTAGTACTTTGTATTACACTCTTTCTTATTTATAGGGGTTGCTTATTCAGTGGGGTTACTTATTATAAGTAACCCATGAGTCCATGACCGACTGAATAACCCCAAAATAAGTAACTGATTGATTGAGTAACAATAACCCCTACTCCGTATAAGTAATTTCGGTCATACAGTGTGGCCGTAGAATAAGCACCGAAAGATAATACGAAGTAGAAAACAAATAAATATGTACTTTTTGTTATTTTAGTTTAGTGATTAGAAATACAATTAAGATACATTATAATACTTGCTTTATTTAGACTTTCGTCATTTTTAAACTTCTCAATCTCTAGTACTACGAGTCATCAATAATTCATTATTTTGATATTGTACTAAATTGGTCCAAATTACTAGTCGTTAATGACTAGTAATAATGTCTGTAGTAATTAAAATCTTGTTGGTAGTTTGGTACTAAGTTGGCAATCATTTTATGTAGGACTGTTCACATTTACTTAACTGAACTGAACTAAACTGATTGGAGTTGAACTGAACTGAACTGAATTGAGCTGAAATGAATATTTTATGAGAGAGGAAAATTAGGAGCTGAATTGATCTGAACTGATTGGAGTTGAACTGAACTGAACTGATTAGAGCTGAACTGAATTGAACTGAACTGAACTGTAATTAAGTAAATGTAACATGCTCGTAGTATACAAAATTATTTTATTTTGATAGCTGTTACGTAGTACGTAGAATTTGGGCTTTGATTGATACAATTATAGAGCAACTTTTTATGATACTAAGTGAATACCAACTAAGCAAAAATTAGTACCAAAAAGGTTATGAACTTAGAGTCAAAAATAAGGATAAAGGGCTTGAAATAGTCTTGATGAACACTCATGATGGTTCGCCCTAGTCATTTTTTCCTACCTATCACATCTATCACATGCATGTAAACAAAAACAATAAAAAGGAAACATACCACAAACGTTTTGATCTTATTGCTAATTTTTCAAAAGTTATTTCAAAAGTTATACTATCTCCGTTTCATTTTAGTTGACACATATTCTTTTTAAGGATGTTTTTTTTTTAGTTGACACGTTTCCTTTTGGCTGTACATCCATTTTAAATATCTCTTAAAGTGATCAAAAGTTACCCCTAAAATGAATAAAAGTTACCCTAATATGTATAAAAGTAACCCGATACAAATAAAAATAATCTATGTTTTATTGGCAAAGAATCACATTTTAAATGACTAAAATTCAATTATTAGTGATTGAAAGTAATTTAATGACCCTTATAAAAATTTTCTTGTTCGATTTATAAAAAAAATCATATTATGTTCAAAGTTACCCAGAAAAGGCAAAAAGTTACCCTAAATTGGCTTAAAGTTACCCCTCTACTGCTCGATGTACACTAATATTAGTGTAAACCGGATGTATACAAAAGTTACCCAAATTTTTTACCATGCATTTACAAGCTACCCCACTTGCTTTTTCATTCTCTCTCACACTCTCTCCTCTTCTTAATATATGTGCAATGTGCCTAAATCAAACGCGTCAACTAAATAGAAACGGAGGACGTAGTATATAGTGAATTTCCTTGCAAGCCCTCATCAACTTTGTTTTATAAATCACAAGAAACTTCATTCTTACATCTCCATATCCATCATCCAAAAAAAAAAAAAAACTTTCTTCTTCTTAAACAACTTAGCTTAGCTTCAAAAAATATATAAAAATGTTGAGCACATCCACGGTTGTGATCAACACAACCCCATCACCAAATCTATCGCGAAAGCCCTTTGTTGGAGGAGGTGAACAAAATTATGTTAAACTCTTAAACTCCTCTAGGGTCATAAATAATGCATCAGTAGGTGCATTATTTCTATCAAGAAGATTGTATGGTGATGGTGTTGTAACTAGGGCACACCGAGCTCGAAACAGTGGCCTTAGAGTGCAGGCAGTAGCAACCAAATATAGCGAACAATCTGTGAAAATTAAGGCCATTGTCTCGGTAAAACCAACTGTTGGTGGGTTATTGACCAACATTGGCATAGGCCGAGGGGCTGATGATATTGTTGATGTGCTTGGTAAAACCCTCCTCTTGGAGCTTGTTAGTGGTGAGGAAAAACAAAGTAAGTTATAAAAACAACGAACTAGTATAATATACAAGTATTATACTTCAATTAGGGTTGTCTAATAATTCCAAAGACAAGATTATTTAAATTTTAAATATATAGATCGATAACTTTGAACAATTGAAGTACTTATTAAGGCAAAATCTTGTACACGTTTTTAAGTACTTGTGCCATTTAGATTGTTACAACTAACATTTACACATCACTTTACTTAATTGATATAATTTGATTTTTCTCGAGAACAAATTTATCACAAAAATGATTGAATGTACCAAATTTGCAAATTTGATAGTGGAGACGTATGCACAATGCTCACTGCCTTTTAATTTATTGACATCAATATGCATATATATAGGAGGAAATCCAACCTTAGCTAGTTTAATTGTATGTCACATATATAACTAATAATTATTAATTTAAATTATGCCTTTAACTAATAATTATTAATTAGAAGATACAGGATCAGATAAGGAAAAAATCAAAGGATACGCTCATCGTTCATTGGTAGAGGATGGAATGGTGAAATTTGAAGCTAATTTTGTGATTTCGCCGGAATTTGGAGAAGTGGGTGCTATTCTTGTTGAGAATGAACACCACAAAGAGATGTAACTCACTGAAATCGTACTCGATGGACCGAATTTTGGTCCAGTTCATATTACTTGTAATTCATGGGTGCACTCCAAATATGACATCCCTGAAAAAAGAGTATTCTTCGCTAGTAATAAGGTATAGAACAAACGAATGAACGATTTTCATAAACTCTTTTGATTAACAAGTCTAATTTTAATCGTTTAAATACTCTCAATTCGCGGTATAATTTTCAAACATATACGTACGTGAAAATATTGTATGATTTGTAATGACCAATTTGCAATGGTGTAATATTTGTAGTCTTACTTGCCATCACAAACACCAAGTGGATTGAAAGAATTAAGGGAGAAAGAGCTTGAAAGTTTGCGAGGGGATGGGAAGGGTGAACGTAAGAACTTTGAGAGAATTTATGACTACGACACATACAACGACCTTGGTGCTCTAGACACGAAACCCGAACTCGCAAGACCTGTATTGGGTGGTACTAAAGATCTTCCTTACCCTCGACGTTGTAGAACTGGACGTCCTCCTACTAAAACAGGTATATAATTTTTATACTCTCAATCATCACTATTCTCATTTATAATTAACAAGGTATCCTCTGTTCAGGGGCGGACCCACCTTTAGTCATAGTGGGTCCGGTGACACAGTATTTTTTTTAAAAAATAAAATATCAAAGAGACCCCTTATTATAGATAGGTGGTCTCTTTGATGCTGCTAGAAACAATATCAAAGAGACCGCTTATTAAGATAGGAGATCTCTTTGATGCTGCTATAGCTACAAAAGACTTGGTGTGTTTTTTTTATATATTAAAGAGACCTATTATTTATATAAGAGGTCTCTTTGATGCTGCTATTGCATTTCACAATTTTTTTGCGTTACTTTTTTTCATTAAAGAGACCAGTTATATTTAATAACTGGTCTTTTAAGTTATCTCACTTTTTTTTGTATAATTTTTTAATAAATTTTTTTCCCTTTTTATATCTTATATTTGTACAACCAATTTTAATATTTCCCCATAATGCTTATCAATTAACTAAAAAATCATAAAGTTAATTCAATATAATAATTTTATTGTACCATTGGTTTATAACGTGTTATTTGTAGTATTTTCGACTTGTAAAATTGAATTCTTAAGTACTGTATTTGGTTGTGATATGAATTTTTGTGTCCTATTTTTGGATTGAAATCAATTTGGTATATGTATATATACATATATATATATATTTTATACATATAAGTTTTGGATTGAAATTAATTATGAACAAGACATGGAAAAAAAAATTGTACTTTCACAAATGATCAATAATTGATGGTGACACACTATCTCGGAAATCCTGGATCCGCCACTGCCTCTGTTCCTTAAATTTATTTTTTGACAGGGTTATATGAATAATGGAAAAAGTCAAATTGTGACGATTAAATTCCAAATCTAACAACATATTCTAAGTTTTCTAACCACCTTTATACATATAATAACATGCTGTTGTACCATGTATGTATACAATATGCAGATCCAAGGTCGGAGAGCAGAGCCGGCAGTGTATATGTACCTAGAGACGAAACATTCTCAGAGATAAAGAACGCACAATTCGGGTTCAAAACCGTGTACTCGGTGCTACATGCTGTTGTACCATCATTAGAGACCGCATTGGTTGATCCTGACCTCGGTTTTCCATACTTCACGGCCATAGACTCGCTCTACAACGAAGGAGTTAATTGTCCCGGCTTACAACAACACGAGTCCTTACGGACTGTGTTGCCTAGGATCATCAAAGGCGTTACTGACTTGAAAGATAGTGTGCTTCGTTTCGAGCTCCCCAAGATTTTTGATCGTATGAACACTAATTACTTTCTTATGTTAAGCTACAATTAATTAACAAGCTTGAATGAATTCTGCACTAACCAATTAAGTTTTTATTTTTTTGGTTAACTTATAAAATACAGGGGATAGGTTTTGTTGGTTTAGAGATGAGGAGTTCTCTCGTCAAACTCTTGCTGGATTAAATCCTTTAAGCATCAAATGTGTTACGGTATGATATGTAAAACTAAATATTATAAGTATATGGATTGATATAAGATACAGTACTAATTGAATGTGGCAATTTATCAATATATACTAGTATGTTTATTAGCCTATTTGATTGCTTAGGATCTCATATGAAACGATTATAAACTTGCAATTTTGAAGGAATGGCCGATAAAGAGTAACTTGGACCGGAACATTTACGGCCCACCCGAATCAGCTATGACTACAGAGCTTGTGCAAAATCAGATAAAAGGCTCCATGACTGTTGAACAGGTTAACTAATCAACCTTATGAGGATAAGCTTTAATTAATTTTTTTTCGAGGTGATTGGATGTAACAATTAATGATATAAATTGCAGGCTTTGAAAGAGAAGAGGTTGTTTATAATAGATTACTATGATGCATTTTTGCCTTATGTGAACAAAGTAAGGGAGTTGAAGGGTTCAATTTTGTATGGATCTCGAGCTTTGTTTATTTACAACGACACAACACTTAGACCTCTAGCTATTGAATTAACTCGGCCTCCATTCGATGGGAAACCTCAATGGAGGCAAGTTTTTACCCAAGGAACTTGTGCCACTTCTGAATGGCTTTGGAAGATTGCCAAAGCTCATGTTCTTTCCCATGACTCTGGCTATCACCAACTTGTTAGTCACTGGTACGTTACGTAGTATACGTACGTTTTCATTAATTATTGATAAGATTGCATAAATTTGAGGATATGATTTTATTTGTCTAGCTACTTTTATATGATAATGAAAAAAAAGAGTTGATCAATACATGTAAATTCATGAATGTGAGCTAACTACATTTTTATTTTGTTCGTTTTGGTGAATGTAGGCTTAGAACACATTGTTGCACGGAACCTTACATAATTGCTGCAAATCGTCAGTTAAGTGCAATGCACCCAATATATAGGTTGTTACATCCTCATTTTCGGTATACCATGGAGATCAACGCTCTTGCTCGAGTAGCTTTGATTAATGCAGGCGGTATCATTGAAAGATCCTTCTCACAAGGGAGGTACGCAATGGAGTTAAGCTCTGTCATCTATGGAGCAGAGTGGCGATTTGATCAAGAAGCCTTACCAGCCGACCTTATTAATAGGTATATCAGTATATGTAATAAAAACTCTAGCTAATTATTAAATTAATTAATTGGTAATTAATTTAATTAGCTTGTAATGGTCTGAAAATGTGAGTGCATACATGTTGATGTGTTGGAAAATTTAGGGGAATGGCGGTTGAAGATCCATCAGCACCACATGGGCTAAAGTTAACAATAAAGGATTATCCATACGCGAATGATGGCTTAGACCTATGGACTATCATCAAGCAATGGGTGACGGATTATGTGAACCACTACTACAAAGATTCGAGCCTAGTAGAATCGGATCAAGAGCTTCAAGCTTGGTGGACCGAGGTAAGAACCGTAGGGCACGGAGACAAGAAAGATGAGCCATGGTGGCCCGGCCTTAAAACAAATGAAGACTTAATCCAAATCGCGACAACCATAATATGGGTGACTTCAGGGCACCATGCTGCTGTCAACTTTGGACAATATGCCTATGCAGGTTACTTCCCTAATAGGCCTACACTCACTAGGACTAAGATGCCTACAGAAGACCCCACTAACGATGAATGGAACAACTTCATCGAAAAACCCGAGGATACACTCCTTGGATGCTTCCCATCTCAAATACAGGCTACTAGAGTTATGGCAATTTTGGATGTGCTCTCAGGCCATTCACCTGAAGAAGAGTATTTAGGTGAAAAATTGGAGCCTTGTTGGGAGGCAGAACCTATGATAAAGGCGGCTTTCGAGAAGTTTACCGGGAGATTAAAGGAGTTGGAGGGGATCATCGACGAAAGGAATGCTAATGAAGCATTAAGGAACAGACATGGAGCAGGAGTTGTGCCTTATGAATTGTTGAAACCTTTCTCTAAGCCTGGTGTCACTGCTATGGGAGTTCCAAACAGCATCTCTATTTGAAACTAATATAAAACTTTGGGATAAATAATGAATGAATAAAATCTATGTAAAACATATATATAGTTCATGATGAAGTCTACAATAAGTTTTTGGGTCTTTTTATTTTAGTGAGTTCAATGCAAGAAGTTATACACGCATGGCCTTTAATTTGCTAAAATTTTCAAATAAAGCACAAGTGTCACGCCAGTTTTACTTGTTTGATTTGAAACTAAAGAATAGATAAATTATAATAATTCATATTATTCATGTTTTTTTTTGGTGCAATTATTTTATTCATATCTATTGATGTGTTATACTAATATACTCCGTACTTCGTATATGGTATAACGTTTTGATAAACTTGAGCTATCTATAACTCTATATTAGTATAATTAAGTATATAGGCAAGGTTAATAGATGAATAATACAAAAAGTCAAAATATGTCTTTTTTTTAAACGAAACAACAGAATTTTTTCTATGGAGGAGAAGTAATGAGTCATCACTATAAACCTCAAGAGTCAGAGCAATTGGTACCTTATCTCATTACTTGGCTGAGTCAGCAGCAGAAGATGGAAGATCAAGAGAAGGTTCTGGAAGGTTGTTAGTTTGTTAGAGAGAATCTTCGTAATAAGAGAATATAAATTCTGTTTTAGGCTTTATTGTTGGCTGTTTTTTGTAATCAAAAGTTTAGTGTGAAAACACTTTCTTTGTCGATCTATTTTCTGTCTCTAAATTTAGCCTTTGTAATCTCAAAAGTTTTGATGAAATCAATGAAGTTTTGGTTATTTTCTTACTTTTCTATTGAAGAATTCTTCAGTTTTATTACCAGCATGAAACAGCCTTGCGAATTTGCGATGCTGTCAAGAAAGCTTTCACCCTTGCTTGGACTGCAAAATCTCTCGAGACCTAAACCAATTAAACCTTCCTATTTGCTTTAAAAAAAAAAAAAAAAAAAAAATCCTTCCTATCTGCACCCATACATGTTAATGTTGGTGCTTTTTATTAATGCTTAATTAATAAATCTTAGCTTCCTAATTGCTCCAATTAATGCTTTTTAACCTGCAAGCATAGCAGTTAATGAATCCTTAATGATTTCTACTCTAAAGGACAGAGGTTTGTAGACATATATGTGAATTGATCAGATAATATACATATACTCGTAGTATAGATTGGTAATTAAGTCACCTTACAATCAGTACATATCAATATTATTAAATGGATTGATACACTTACCTTTTTATTTATTAATTATTTTTTTTTTTGAGTAGATTGATACACTTTGTATTCAATTAACCAAATGCCCTGCCAACAAGAAGCAACATAAATCATAGAGTGCGTGATTATGACCCTGATTGTAGTGTTTGTCATCGTGATTTCGAGACGACCCTTCACGCCCTCGACTGGTCATATTCTTGATTGGTGGGAGAGTTGCTTTGTGGAGCTTGATTAAACTGATGTTGTGGGTGTGGTGACTTTGTGTTGGGCTATTTGGGGTGCTCGCAATTCCCTTGTGATGGAAGGCGAGAACCCGGATCCTGCGAATATTGTGAGCTACGCAATTAAGACGTGGAATGAGGCTAGTGGGGAGTCCGAGAAGACTAAGGATGGGGGTACGAGCAGCAGCTTGCCCACGGTGTGGTCTCCTCCAGCCAGGGATTTCTTGAAGGTCAATGTTGATGCAGGGTCAGTGCGAGATATGGGGTCTGGTCTGGGTGCGATAATTAGGGACAGCGATGGTCAGGTGTGCGCTTGTGCTACCTGGCAGGGCCGTGAGTGTTGGGAGGTGGTCATTGCTGAAGCAAAAGCGGTGGTCTTCGGTCTTAAGCTTGCTAATGAGGTGGGTGCTCGAAGGTTGGTGGAGGAAAGTGACTGCTTGACAGTCATTCAATCCTTCCGTGAAGCTGCTAAAGGAACTAGTGCCTTTCATATGCTATTAGATGATATTTTAGAGCTTAGTTCTACTTTTGATGATGTGATTTGGTCCTTTGTTAGGCGAGAAGGGAACAAAATAGCACACGAATTGGCTCACTTTCAACCGTTTGTGGTGTATTCCCCGATCGTATTGTTGAACTTGCTTCAATTCCATTGCTTCTATTAATTAAAATACATACCTAGCTAAAAAAAATAAAAAATAGAGTAACACATAGTTACCATAACTTATGATAGAGTGTGAAAAGATAGAATATGCAAAAGTAATTAACTAAGATATTTGCAATTCTATCTTTTCATATATTTACCATAAGTTATGGTAACGTGTGAACGAAAAAAGCCATTCGGATCATTATCCTCATAAGAGCTGAATATTTATAATACAATGTTTCTTTTCCTCAAAAAGAAAATCAAATCAAATAATATATTTCCTAAATATATCTTAATATATTGCCATAAATAACTTGGAAATTGGCTATATAAGTAAAGGGTTTAAACCTTATTTGAACATCCAAACAAGAGTGAAAGAGAAGGAAGATCGAGGAATCAACATAATTCGATTATTGGCATAATAATGGAGAAAGAAAGGTCGAATGCTCATCTTCCAACGGAGCTAGTAATCGACATACTGGCAAGGCTACCCGTCAAATCTCTCATGCGTTTCAAGTGTGTTTCCAAGTCATGGTGTCAACTCATCAACGATAAGTTCTTCATCAAAACCCATGTTGATCGATCCCTCAAATCAAATTCAAATAATAAACTCATTCTTTCTTCTTTCAAAACCAAGCGTAATTGTTACTCTTTTGAATATCACCAATCCGACTACCATGTCAATCAACTCTTTTACCCTCATAAATTTGGCTTTGTTATAGGCTCGTGCAACGGCTTACTATGCATTGCATCAAATCGCCGCAGGAGAGTTTCACTTTACAACCCCGCGACTCGAGCCTATAAAAAACTACCGCCCTTCAGTTTTAACGATGAAAAAAACATCTACGAACCTTTTCACACGGCTGCTTTTGGTTATGATTGTGTATCGGATGATTATAAGGTTTTAACATTTATGAAATCACAATCGAAGATAGGCATTATATCTAAGCTCTATAGTTTGAAAACAAATGTTTGGGAGACTATTCCAAACCCTCCTTGGAAGAATTTCAAGTATTTTAAGACCACAAACAGTGTTTTGGCCAACAACACTTTGCATTGGAAGATTCCTAATCCAAAAAAAATGATGTCAGAAGAGTTAAGGTGTTTCGATCTTTTCACACGAAAGTATTACAAGATACACCTCCCTGAAGTACTTAATTTTGATTCATCTAAATTGACCCTTTTTAAGGGTCGAGTGTGTATCGTGACATGTACGTTGGATATATGGATGCTGGAGAAATATGGTGTGGAAAAGTCTTGGACTCGAATATTTCATCACCAATTTTACAGGACTAATCGTTACTATACTACAAGAAATTGGCATAGTCGGAATTTAAAGTTTGCTTGCATAGAAGATGGACACGAAATTATTTTAGTATCATGTTGTCTTGGACTACCTAAGTTCGTAATAAAATGTGATCCAAAACTTGGAAAAGCTATCAAGATTGAATTGAAGGATGTGCCCGAGGATTTGGACAACCTTGGGTGGAAACTATTGTCCCCGTATCCTATATATAAAGGGAAAGGGTCTTTTGGGTGATAAATTTCACTATCCCCAAATTACCCTTCTCAAGTTGCAAAATTACAAAAAAAAAAAAAAATCCTATCATAACTACCCAATAATAACCGCTCCCTTTCTTCCACATAAATTTACATATTCAACTGTTCACACTATAAAACCACTTTATTATTTTTTTCATCTAATTTCTTATATTGTACACGCGTAGCGTATCTTTAACTTGTATAAATTAAAGTGTCATCAACATATTCACACGGTGTGGCCAGCCACAAATATTATTATTAATTTTTTTTTTAAAAAAAAATACCACAACTCTTCTCTCTCTTCTTTTCTTATCTTCTTCTTCAAACCATACATCACCAACAACCATATCTCTATTATACCCATTTTCTCTCTCCTCTTTTCTTAGCTTCTTCTTCAAGCCAAACCACACATCACCAACAACCATATCTCTACTCCACCCATTTTTTCTCTCCTCTTTGCCAAATTGTTGCAATTAAAGCCCCAAATTGTAGAAATTGGGTGTTAAATTGCTGTGAAAATTGTGATTAATTATCCTTAAAATCATCAACAACATTTGAAATAGTGAAATTGATGAGAGCCAAAGAAATGTGAGCTCGTTTTCTTCGTGGAATCTTAGATCAAACATTCTACGTCAAAAATTGTAGGGTGTTACTACTTTGGTTATGGGTACTTGTAGGTGTTACTGGTTTGGTCAGGGGTTACTAGTTTGGTGATGGTAATACTGGTTTGGTCAGGGGTTACATGTAGGGTGTTACTGATTTGGTCAGGGGTTATTGGTTTGGTGATGGTGTTACTGGTTTGGTCATCAGGGGTTACATGTAGGGTGTTACTGGTTTGGTCAGGGGTTACTTGTAGGGTGTTACTGATTTGGTGAGGGTGTTACTGGTTTGGTCAGGTTACTTGTAGGGTGTTACTGGTTTTGGTCAGGGGTTACTTGTAGGGTGTTACTGGTTTAGTTAGGGGTTACTTGTAGGGTGTTACTAGTTTTGCTCAAGAGTTACTTGTAGGGTGTTACTGGTTTGGTTAGGGATTGCTTGTAGAGTGTTACTAGTTTTGCTCAAGGGTTACTTGTAGCGTCTTACTGGTTTGGTATGGGGCTTACAAGTAACCGTTGAATAAGTAACAAGTAACCCTTGAATAAGTAATTCATACAAGTAACCTTTGAAGTAACTCATATAAGTAACCCCTGAATAAGTAACTCATTCAAGTAACCCTTGAATAAATAACTCATACAAGTAACCCTTGAATTAACCCATACAAGTAACCCCTGAAAAAAAAATACAACTAAATATTGAAAAAAAAAATACAAGTAACCCCTGAAAAAAAAAATACAAGTAACCCCTGAAAAAAAAAATATATATAAGTAACCCCTGAATAAGTAATCCATACAAGTAACCCCTGAAAAAAAAAATACAAGTAACCCCTGAAAAAAAAAATATATAAGTAACCCCTGAATAAGTAATCCATACAAGTAACCCCTGAAAAAAAATACAAGTAACCCCTGAAAATAAAAATATATAGTAACCCCTGAATAAGTAATCCATACAAGTAACCCCTGAAAAAAAATACAAGTAACCCCTGAAAATAAAAATATATAAGTAACCCCTGAATAAGTAATCCATACAAGTAACCTCTGAAAAAAAAATACAAGTAACATCTGAAAAAAAAAAAATACAAGTAACCCCTGAATAAATAATCCATACAAGTAACCCCTGAAAAAAAAATACAAGTAACCCCTGAATTTGTAATCCATACAAGTAACTCCTGAAAAAAAATACAAGTTGATTAGGGGATTTTTCCCCACCAATCACCATCTGACAAGTGGACCAATCAGGTTCCGCCATGTGTCCGTCATATGGGCCAACAGGAGCCTGTCACGTGTCAAGCAATGATCCGTCCACTATGGACCAATTACGACACGACACGTGTCCTTCCCATGACACCTGGGATAACCGGTCACCTAGGCCCAACTTCCGAGGGAAGCCCAATCAGCCCAAGGTTAACCTAAACCTAGATTGACACGTTTCCCGATGTTATAAATACCTCCCTTAATCCTCATTAAGGGAGACAACGCTAAAAATGCAGATTACACACATTAAACACTCTCACCTAGAGAGACCCAATCACTTTAATTTCCGCATTAATTACTCCTTAATCAAGTACTAACTTGACCGTCGGAGGCGGATCTCCAATCATCCGGAGCATCCGTTTGTTTTGCAGGTACAGGCGTCCGGTTCCAGTCTCGGAATTGTAACTCTCCCGCAGGACATCAGAAAACCCCGAAACATTTGGCGCCGTCTGTGGGGAGAGTACTTCTGAGATGGCATCCACGTCTGTACCGACTCCTGAAGAGAGGCGTCCCCTAGACGACCCTCAAGTTCAGTCGGACCACGATACTGAGAATGAATTTGAAGTTGAAGCTCACACAGTTTCAGACGGGACCCTAAGGGCCCGACGTACCCGTCATACCGAAAGAAGGGGACGGGAACATCTTCAAACTGGAAGTGAGCCAGCAGGCGCACCGCCTGTTCGGCAGCAGCCGACTGATGGGTCTGCTCCCATCACAAGGAACGAACTCATGACCTTCATGAGGGACTTCAAGGGAGAAATTCAAGAGTTGATCAATAAGAAGTCGCCTGCTCTGGACAAGGAGCAGTCGGCTAAGAAACCCTCCACTTCACTGAAAAGGAAACCAATTCAAGGGCGAGAGGCGACCCCTCATCCTAAATCTAGGAAGTGGGAGCCACCTGCCCTTGATTTCACAAAATACCGTTTTCCTACTCCAGGAAATAGGAAACCTGTTCGTCATATTCAGGCGGACGGGTCGAGGAAAACATACACAAACGCTCGGCTACTGCTAGAGCAGAAGAAGAGTAGCCGATTGTCAGAGTCGGCCTCTACTTCAAACTTCCAAGACAGTCTGCGAAATACCTCAATGAGGCATACTCAGTCGTATCGTGAGAGTCAGTTTGGCGGCACCTCCCGTCATTCCGGCTTTCATAGCGACCAGGCGGTACCAAACTTACCGTTTGTACCGCAACAACAGTATTTTTTACAGCCACCTCCGTTTGGTGGACATGCAGCAAAAAATGTCCAACCTATGGACTGGCAGCTACGGTTGCTTAGACTTGGTGAACAGCCGTCGGCCTTCTCCAAGGAAATTACTGAAGCCGCTCAGCCGGCCAAAGTGAAAAATGTATTAGTAGGCGCCTATGACGGCACTACTAACCCAGAAGACCATCTGATGGCATTCACCAACCTGATGTACCTTCAAGGGTTGGATGATCCCACTTGGTGCAAGTGTTTCCCAGCGACTCTCAAAGGAATCGCACAACAATGGTTCGACAACCTGCCGACTGGTTGTGTAAATAACTTCAAGACGCTTGCTTACTTATTCACCTCCAACTTCGCCATGAACATCCCTGCGAAGAAGACGACCCTTGATTTAGGAACAATTCAGCAGGGCGAGAAGGAGG